CGATGAGCTTTGTAAAAATTGACGCGTTTCAGAAAGGCGGGGCATAGAGGAGAAACAATAATGTACAGTATGTGGAAAATAATGTGTTTTTGAACCTTAAACCGCATAAACACATTTCATTACACCAAATACACAAAATAATGTTCTTTTTAGCAACATCATATGACCCCTTTAACAAATAAGTAAAAGTCAACCTGCCATAACCAAACAAAGCCACAAGGAGATGTCAAAGGACTGCATATAAACTACTATACGGATCCATTCAGAATCACTAAACAAACCAAAATACAAATTAAAAATGAAATCATTCTGAATGTGTAGAAACTCAGCAATCTGAAGGCGGTTGTCGTCATCAATGAACAAGCTCTGTCAGAACAAGCGGCGATCATGTCTGTGTTAGTAGTGTCTGATGCCCATATGTACATAAACACCACTGATCCTCACAAACTTCTCCAAAACACGCCTCTTCGGTGAGCTGCATCCGTTATAAAACCCTCGTTGTAAATAATTTTGACAATTACGTGAATATACTGAATTGTGTTCAAGTACAAATATAATGTTATAGTGATCAGTGCGACGAGAGCGCAAATACAAGGTTTGTTTGTGCATCAACAATAACGGACACACGAGTGCTTAATGTACAACTCCTGTGTGTCACTATAATTGTCTTTAACTCCATCTAAACTTAGCGTGACACGGGCTTGCTGTATCCAGCCAAGAGCTGTAATTTGCGTATCATACGCTCTGCAGCAGTCTGGCTCATGTAGCAGTCAGTTTTGAGGCACCGTTCAGTGTATTTCACACAGCGTGATGAGAAACAGCTTGAGGTGCTCCAAAACACAGAATATTAGAATACGTACAAGAGAGGTGGTGCTGTAGTTTTTTTTTTTTTTTTTTTAAATTAAAAAATATATATATTTATCATATTAATCATAAAATTAGTAAATTGAATATATTTTAATTTGTTCCCCCTATGGAAACATGGAAAACAGCCCTACAGTCCCTATAATGTTTTTTTCCCTCAGCATGCCCAGTTTGTCCTCACAATGAAATTTGTAGGTGGGTAAAGTAAATGAATTCAAAGGATATGTTCTGAGCACAATCAATTAGGCAATGCATTTTATATGACTTTCAATTCTTTGTGGGCTTATTAGATAAAATAGCAGTCAGTGGTATTTAACTTATCTTATCATCTTTCTTTGTGATCATCACTCTTCTATACAGATTCTCTTGAAATCCATTATTTTAAAGATAGAATACTTATTTTAAACACGGAAAATAAATCCTCTCTCTTCATTTTAAAATGTGTATTACTCCACTTGTTTTCATACCAGATTTTTATAGCTTCTCAAACAGAAAATGTAATTCACATTCACAAGTTCTTTTCTTTTTTCTTTCTTTCTTTTTTTTAAGGACATAAAAACTTGTTTTCAGACATAACATTAGTTGTATCATAAAAAAATACTTGTCCTAATAATATAAAATCACTATAAAGTTGACAAAAAACTATAGCCAAACTACTGACACCAAGGTAAAGCTCACCAAAGATTGAAAATATCCTAGGACATATCCACAGAGGTAAGTGAAGGTAGTATATCCAGACTGAAGGAGAACCCTTTGGGTTAAGAGGCAAAAGAGTGGATCAACATCAAGCGAAAGGCGGGATATTTTTCCAGCTAGCTACAGTGCAGTGGTAGATTAAAGGGATTGGGAATGTCCATGGAGAGGGTGGCAATAAATGCGGAGCAAGAGGCAGAGGGTTGCCCTGGGTACCTGGTGAGTTGTTTGAAACAGAACACACAGAAGCGATGTCCACACTGTGCTTGGAAAGGTTTCCTAAGAATCTCTTTGCACTGCTGACATTGATATTTTGGTTCCATGGACACAGACAGCACTTCTCGAGATATCCCAGGTAATGTGGAGTCCAATGAAGAAGGTAAAGATGGACGTGCCATTGCCTTCCATTTACCCACAGTGCCAGCAGTGCTCATCATCTGTAAAAAAAATAAAAAATAAAAAAAATAAGCACAAATTAGCAGAATAATTGCAGACGTGTTTTAACACCTTTGATTGAAATCAACATGAAATTGCATATACAATTAATTTATCTTCCATTATATGACATATTTATGAGTGAAAGAGAATATTCAACCACATAAAAAATTGTAGGGTTGGACTTGGAAATGGAGTCACACCAGAATGTGAAACCGATGTTAATTTTTTACTTAATTAGAAAATACTATAATATAATAAGTCTGCATTATTGTGTGCACAGTGTAACAGCTGGACAAATCAGACACATTATTATGTTATATTTAACAAATAGCCCAAAAGACACCTCACCAAACAACTGGAATTGGTGCCGGGATGTCTGTGAACTACCCCCAGGCCACTAGGGCTGGGTATCATTAAAAAATTTTCGATATCGATACCGATACCTTGACTTCGACACCGGTTCCTGAACGATACTTTTTTCGATACCAATTTTATGAAATCAATTTGAACAAGATTACATTATCTTAAAAAAAAAAACGGTTTTATTTTTCAGCTTGTTGATGTTTATACAAACTCAAAGACTTACTCCACGCAGCTCCCACGCTACTCTCCATTGGAAGTGAATGACCGGTCTTTCGCTTGTCGTTTGTCGGAGATAGTGGAAATCCAGCTTGAAACGCAGTGGAAACGCCAGTATGACGAGGATCGTTTTCATTTTAAAACAAACGCACCAGTGTAAATGTAGCCTTACATCTATGGGGACTTGGACGCACTTACACTACAGCGAAAGCCGGCTTGAAACGCAGTGGAAACGCCAGTATGACGAGGATCGTTTTCATTTTAAAACAAACGCACCAGTGTAAACGTAGCCTTACATCTATGGGGGCTGGGAAACATT